TAGTAATGTCTGGAAAAATTAAATCACTTCAAGAGACGAGCATTTTCAAAACGCAAGCAAGTCATCATGAAGGTGAAACGATTCCAAAACCGTTCAATACAATATGAACTTAATCTTTCTTTCAAAGTTGGTATAAAATATATGACTATATTGGGTGATTTCGAAATTTTATGCGACGTTTTTGTAGTGATTCGTGACAATTTTACTGTCACTCTGTGTTGCCCGTGTAAAAGTGAATAGCTAAAAAATAAAGCGCGTCCATTTCAGATGGTACCTTTGCTCTTCTTAGCTCTCAATTTCAAAGTAACCCTACGCTTTCGTCTAACCGGAATATTTTCTTTAATTATGGCCCAGAAAATGATGGGTTATTATCATTCGAAGCATAGAGGTGGCAAAATGCGAACTCCGTTCTTCAAAAATCCATAGTTGAAATAAATTGTGTGCTTATTTCCTCCATGACCCAGAGAAAACGGCCGTCGAACGATTCTCCATTAGCAACCCGATCTGCCGAAGAGTCTTCCATTGTACCAACGGATCAAGTAGGAACACGGAAAATACATCATCCCCTTTGATCGGGTAAAATATACCGCAGGCACACACACATACATACACAGACACTCAGGGCGGCCTCTCCGCAGATGATGGCACAAGGTGCACTTCTGAAAAGCTTTTGATTCATGGAATTTATTCATGCCTCAAGTGCTTCTTCTATTTCCAGCGAAAAATAACTCGATACGGCTCCGAAGAAAAAAAAAGTAGGTCTGAGAGAGAGAGACTGCAAAATGTTTGGCCGAATGAGTGGGAAGTTCTCTGAGGTCATAAAAAGCTCGCGAGCAGTGTCAAATAGGAGCTCCCGGCGTTGTCATTTGGCGAGACAACTTGCGGAAAACTTGGAGGTGGGATTAGCATATTAAAAAGGTTAAAATGTGGTGAGGAAATGTCCGCACGAATCCTCTGTCCGGAAGGCATTATTGTCAATTTGATTGATTTCATAAATACGCGGATATTTCTTATTTCAACTCGCAGGCAATTCAGAGTTCGTCTTTTTCTTTCTCATCTTCGCGTTTTCCGTGGCTTCCACCTTTTTTTTCAAAATTTACTACTCTCGAGATTTGTACACCATAACATGCCGAAAAATCACTCATCCACGCGTGATTTCAGGGTTTCAAAATTTCCCAAAAATCTCTATACAACCAAAATCCATCAGAAATTGAAATTTACATACGAAAGTACAGTAGTTCCAAAATCTGCATTTGTGAAGCACTTCGATAACTGAAGTCCGTTAAACATGTTCGAAGGACGGAATGTCCAAGATGGGCCAAGTGGAAAGCGAATGATTCAAAGCGCAGCTTTCTTAACCCAATTCTTTATCGCACTTTCAATTTTTGAACTTTTCCCCCAGAAATTTGTAAATATCTGCGCTTGGTCGCTCAGATTCCCATTAAAAATATTGAAGTTCTGTAAAAACAAAAGCGTTAGAACGGCGATCATTGAAATCATCCACGTAAATATATAGCTGGAAATTCCAATCAATATTTTCCCCGTCGAACAGGATCTTCGTCCTCCTTGACGTCGAAGATGAGTCAACGCATGCTCACTCATGAAAAAGACGCCGGACGGGTTCTGTAGTTCATGACCAAGAAAAATCGAACGAAAAAAAAATTTAAAATAAACCGGGAGCAAAAACATAAAAATAAAATTAAAAAAAATCTCTCGCAAGAGTCTCTTGTCTGAAAAGCCCGCTGCGACACGAACAAGGGGAATCAGTCGTGCTTTCGCATAAAATTCTGCCCCGCCGTGGGGGAAAACGCAGGCGGCATGAAATAAGCGTCGCGTTATGCCTCTCGCAAGTCCTCCCCGAGTACGGCGCAGGAATAGCAAACAGACAACCGCGTCGCTGCTTAAAGGTGGGAGAGGAAGAAAAAAATAAATAAAATAACCCGAGCAAAAGAAGAAAATGGAAAAAAAGGAAAGACGTATTTGCACGTTGCGTCACTTTTCTTCTCGGTCGACGCGCTCCTGCTTAATTTTCCGGGTCACAGCGACACCGAGAATGAAAGGAAGTTGACAAATGACGAGCATTGCTTCTTGTTATTCCGGAGCGAGACGCACAGGTTTCCTACGGGGAATTGAAACACGGCCTTTGCGTTAGTCCCAATTTTCGACCGCTTCCGCCTTTTGATACCTCGACTGTATTTTATACCCGTAGCAGCAAATAAAGTCTCGTCACTTCCCTGTTTGAAAGCTACGCTATAGGATAGCTTGCTTGGTCTGATGAAGTTTTATCACAGTATAGACTTCCAGTGTAAATTATTTGCCCGCTGAATCTACACACGATGTCTCCTGTAGTCGTGACTCAACGTACAGTATTTTCGTCCGAATTGTCAGTCTGCTATACAGACAAAAGGGTGCGTGCGGTATGAAAACAAATAAATATTGCTGAATGAGCACTTCTATGCATGACTAGACGTAAAATCTGCTAAGGGATGGATCGTGTGAACAATCAATTTTTAAAATTATTTACCAAACATTTCCTACCATAATACTAAGGTAAAATAATACGCATGTCTTTATAAAGGGTTCCGGGCATGGTTGTAAACACAGTCACAAGGGTGAAAACCAGGAAAAGTCTACACTTATGGTAACGATTTCGTATACAGCGTTTTTTGGTCCCATAAAGATCTCTACCCATGCTATATGGGTTATCTGCAGCAAAATTCAATCTACGACGAATTTGTTTCTGGCATCCTGGATTTCGATGCAGAGAAACTCCATCTGCAGTACGTAAGTGACCAATGCCGTGTAAAGAATGCAATGTAATACAATGCAGATAATTTCTTAAAAGCACTGTTTTCTAGCCTAGAATAGTCTAATTCAGAATTTCAAGAAAAATTCCGCACGCAGTTTCTTTATTTCAAAGTGTCGTTCCCCAAGTGCTTCAAATAGTCCTGAGACAGTCAAGAAAATCAAATCAATCTTAAGAATTATCTTCATCATGTCAGATCTTGAGATAAAAATTCTCGTACATCCCCCTGATTTTTCTTCCATGAATGATTAAAAACAAATGCAACACTCGTAATCCTTTCCATGCCTCTGCGACTTCAGAATATTGTATTAACCTCTGAAAATTCCCTGAAACCGCGAGTCTCAAAAATTGACTCAAATATTCTCCAGAAAAGCGTCGAAACCGTCGGAGGTTTGCTTGAGATTCTCAAAGTTCAGAAGTGCTGGAGTGCAAACGTGAAATAAAGAGGAGTGCTAAAATCTGCAATTACGGAATACTTCAGTTCTTGGATTAGAAAGAGGTTAGCCAATTACTTAAATGCGCTTAAAATGCGTTGAAAAAAATATCGTGCTAACAACCAATATTAACAATCCAATTTTCAAGCATCACGCGTAAAATTTGTTTCCATTTTCTTTCGCGGAAATCACACAGTCTCACATTTCTCCCTAAGTTGGCCGTTTCCCAAATACCAAAAATCTGCCAGAAATGCTCTGCCATACCGTCTGTTTCCGGTTGTTCTACGTAGTGAACCTCGAATAAATAAAAAGTAAAGCAAATTGTATTATGGGATCCCGGTCAGTTTACCGGAGCAGCGATAAATTTTCAAACAGCAGCAGCATCAGCAGGGGAAGAATATATAAGAAGAACGAACGAAACGATGCATTCATGATGGGCATCATTCGAGGCCAGGGGGAAGCAGCTGGCAAAAGGGGCGCATATTTCAAGAAGATGAACTCGGGCCCAACACCTCGGGTTGACTTGCGGTATGGGGAAAAAATTTGCGTGCCGGAATGAATGAATGCATGCGTGCGTTGGGGAAGAAAATAAATCGAGACTTATCGCCCATTAGCGTCGGATGCCCCACGAAGCTCCGAACGTGCTTTCGTGTCGGCGTGATATTCGGAATGACTTCCACGCGAGATTCCGTCTTTGACGCGGAAAATATTCCTCGCGAACCTGCCTAATAGGAAGTGTGGTGGTGATTTCTATCTGCGGCAGTAGATCTTCCGATTTGATGCATCGCCGAGCTTCTTGTTTACTTATTTAGTTTTTTGGGCGTCAAAAATGCTGGGAAGGCTTGCGAAATCGCTTACTAACACGATGGATGAGCTAATCGAACGCAGTGTCCCAAGGCTGTAGTTTTTTTTTTAATTTTATTAAAACCAAGAAAAACCGAAGTAATTCGTGTGAAGCGAACCAAATTTACACTGCAGGCGGGTGATTGTGAAACGTTTCGGTACTTTATCAGGAAAATTTCGTATCAAATTAGCAAGCTAATCGAAAACTGTGCTCCAACGATCAGTTTTCTACCGAAACACAGCAATTGTACAGACCGTTATTTATCTTGCCGAACTGATGTTGGCAAGAATATTTTTTTCATAAGATGAGTGAGCTAATCAGAGGCTAAATACAAACAAAGCACTTTTATTTCTTATTAACTGGATACAATCCCGAGTACAATTAATCGCAAGCGAAACACATATCAAATTTAGACGTATTTTGAGGTGATTCTAATATCAAGACACGTTGTATGAATCTAATCGAATATGGTGCCAAAAAGAACTAATATAATTAAAAACCCGAGACATTTCGAAACGACTCGGGCTGCATGGTCATTTCAAGATTGGGTTTTTCAAGCTCTGTCCCGTTGGACTGATATGTGAACTATGATTATAAGTGTAAAAACAAAACACAGAAACAAACAAATCTGGAGGATTAAGATTTATTAACAAAATGGCGATAGATTAGTTGAGCGGATATCAAGACGGCCGCGTCTCAAAACAGCGCATTTTGAGCAGCATATTTGAAAGGTGAAATTGCCACACAATTGGGAAGAGCCCAAAATAAAAATAAATACAAATATGAAACAATACCATCAATTATTCGTGTTTGAGAAACTCAATACATTGCGATCATTTCACTTAGTAGGATACGAAGGTTATTAGTTGCTTCATACATTTTGCCAGTCTTCCGCGTTCAATCAAAACCGTACATCCTTTAAGTAAAATAAAATTTTCTGGCGCTGATAATCTCCTTTCACAAGCGCTGTTCGGTACTCTTAGCGTTGAGGACATGCTATTTCACAACACACTCGAGTAAATTACTAGTTTTCCACAGCTTAATTGCTTTCACGTTGAAAACCAAGCGTGAATCGCTTAAAATTGAGAAAGGTCTCATGAACGCGTAGAAGGTTTGGAAGGATTATCATCTTAACTGAGCAAGTAAATTGCGTTTTTCCTTCTGCAACATGGAAGCCTGTACTGCGGACGGAACTTTCCATAAATTCCTCGCAGAGATCAAGGAACTCAAAATCGACGACAAACTCGCCGAAGCGCTCAATAACTCGTCAAAGCCCACAAATCCCGGGGAAACCTCAGCCCAAATCGCAGCTCAGAAACTCAACAAATGCCTCAGCACGCTTCTTTCGTGCGAATTCAGAACATTCGACACCCTGCGACGCGTCAGGGACCAACACCGACGTCACGGCGCCTCGCCGCCGTCACTCGGCGGCAAAAGCGACGTTGACGCCAACAATGCCCGCGCCATCGGCAACCAACTCTATGCTCAACGTCGGTTCCGAGACGCCATAGAAATGTATGGCAAAGGCTTGCGGCTCTCTGTGTCGACAGCGTCACTGGCACTGACGTTCGCGTCACGGTCCGCGGCGTTTTTCGAGCAACGTCGGTACGAGGATTGCTTGCGGGACATAGACAGGGCTATCGATCACGGGTACCCCGACACCAAGCGATATCGACTCGACGAAAGGTTCGAGGCTTTCGTTTCGCTTTAAAACGCATTGTTTCAATGTCTGCTGGCTGCAGCCATATTGCTCGACCCTTCTCGCGGGCAATAAGGTTCCAGGGCTGCTTTTGTGGCACCTCATCTATATACGGGCGAGGGCTGGTTCATAAGGTGTATCAACGTTTTGCCTCTCCTTGATAATAAAGGTCACAATTCAGGACTAAATTCAAAAGAAAAATAAAATCCTGGGTTAATTAGATGGCATTTGGCTCAATAAATGTATTGTTATTCATATATTGTCTTGGAATGAATGGAAGTAAATTACTGTCGAGCATCATTTCACTACTTCTCGAATTTTGTTCACCCAGATTGAAATTACGAGGAGATTTACGTTAAAACGCACAAGACCAGCATAAGGAAATTTCAACTTCACACGACGACCTTTTATGTTTTATGAATTTTGATCTGATTCAAGTGCATTACCGTACTTACAACTTTCCGAATTAAGTACTGTATAGTGGGTACTTGCGTAATGAACTCAATCCATTTCCGGGAAAAGTTTATTATGCAACGCATGGTTTCCTTTACTGGGAAAATGTTTAAAATTTGTTTTGGGAAAACTGAATTCGTGACCAAATGCTTCAAGTAATTTTCTAAACTTGAAAAGAAAATTCTAAGCCAAGGCACGTTTTTCACAACAGAATCTTAATATTGACATTTTTCAATATTGAGTGTAATGCAGATATTCTGGTGCTTGCACACACAATTAAAACAAGAAAGCAACTCAAGGACGGTACAGAATTGCAAGTTTGTTCACGGTTTGTTCACCGTAAGTTAAAAATATAATATTTAATATCAGAAATATTGGAATCTCTTGTGCGTGTGGAAAATATTCCAAAAAACTATTATTGTGTGAATGCGTTTAAGAAGAGATTCATCATGCAAGGGCCCATTCTTTGGATAATTAATGAATCGTTCTGGTTACAATTGACAAAATCTGAAAAATATTTCCTAATGAAAAGTGTTCTTTTTTGGCAATGTTTATGTTCTAAATCTTGATAATTGAATGCGAATCGTAGAGTGACATTTCCATTGTCGAAAGTAAATATCTCAAAAGTCAGTATTAACGCTGAAGAAAATCCGAAGCCAATGAGTACAGGCGCTTTCTTCAAGTACTGTATAATTGCAGATCCCACGGGGATTTGGAGGATTGTGATTCAAAAATCTAGGTACTCAGGAAATTTATTTTCAAGGCAGGCACTGATACAACTTGTGAACCAGCCCTTGTATATGAACCCGTTGCTCATCGATCGACGGGCAAGCCTGTAAAGAGCCGAACAAAAACGAGGGAAATTTCGATAAGCTCTGACATAGACCCCAAAGGCGCGCCATGGTAATTCATGGGGTCGTCTTAATTACCAGGGGAATTCCTCTGCCGGAACATTATTTGTTGTCGGCGGGATCATGAATTATTCAGCCGCTTTCAGAAACCAAAATCACTGAAAGCATACGCAGTTCTCCATTCTAGCAGAAATCACACCGAAACGGAAAGTTAGAAATGTATAAAGCCAATTCACCGGGGAAAATCAAGATATGTAACCACTTAATTCGACCCACTAAAAATGAAATCAGCCGTGAAGTTAGGAATCTCGTTTCTCCTAAAATGTAATCAAAAGTCGGAGGGTATCGCGGGTTTATAAAATATAGTTTCGAATGGATTACGTCGTGGTATGAGTTGACATAATTTTATGATTGGCGAAAAGAACGTCGGTTGAAACTTTAAGCAATAAATTCGCTTTATTAAATGGCCACAAGAGAATTACTGTACTTTATTTTACCAGAATTTTGTCCGAAAATGTTTACGATTGGGATGCGCGTCATAATTAATCATAATTTAGGACGCAAGGTACTTTTATGTAATCGCCGATCTAAACAAATTTATTTCTGCTGATCTGTCGCACGATTTCTATGAGCTTCTTTCACCATCAAAGTAACCAGAATTTCACATCATCAGAGAGGATAAATGCAATGAAAAGTTTCTATGAGGTTCTGGCAGAATTTTTAAGAGTGCCTCAGTCAAATACAGTAATCACGAGCTATGTTTAAAGTTTGAGAGTTTAACGGGAGTACGTAAGTCCCCTGGTATATGTGGAAGAGCGGAAGTTTCTGACGGGCGTTTAATTTTCTTGATTCTCTCTCATTTGCCTATATATTTTCATGAAAGAAGTTTCAACACATGCATTTTGGATGGTTTTAACTTGATGAGCAATACTTGAGGCTTGCTTCTGTTGGATAAGCTGTTGTTTCGCGAGTGCTCAACATGTTCCAACCGTAGCGGCGTATGTGTTCACAGGAAATCCCTGCAGAATTTTTACTGTATTCCGAGTTTGGAAATTTATGGGGTTTGTCAGAAAGCAGAAAGTCATCAAGTTCCAGTTGGTTCACGTTGTAAATATTCATTATGACGAGAAAAAATCGAGAACAGCCGAGAGTCTGCGATATTGACGACCTTCGGCAAGTTTACTCAAATTAAATCACACATGAAAATCCGCATGACGAGTTTTTTTCTTAATGAGTACGATAGAATTATGAAATTTGGCACGGTGCTTGCGTATTTCCGGTTATACTATATTTGATTTTGAATTTTGAACGCGCATAGGACTTGAAGCTTATGACGTAATGTTATTAGCTATTTTTAGAATCCAACACAAATTTTAACACCGGAAATTGAGCAGCACTGCACCTTTTCTCGGGGAAAGACGAGGCCTGCGAATTTAAAAATTTCAACAACATTCTAAAGATTTAGGGGCCAAATAATTATTATGCTAAGATGGATTATTTTTCGAGGAGAAAAAGAAACCGAAATTCCAATTCAAGGCGAATATCGCTCACATATCAAACTAAAGGAAATTCATTATCAAGACAGAGTTTTGCTGGCTTTTACGCTTCGACACACTTAGTTTCAGAATTTTTCATCAGCGGCAACTGGCAGATTTACAAAAAAGTTAATGCAACAGTCTTAATCCGCATTTAAACAGAAATAAAACTTAGAACGATAATAGCACAAAGGCAGTTCGAACGAAATATGTGCTGGGTTCGAATCACGATCAGGTACGAAAGTTTTAGGTCATCAACGCAATGCGTTAGAAGCAACATTCGATGGTTCGGGACGCGAATTAGAAACGTTGATGCTTGGCAGTAATGATCCCGTTTTAACGGCAACTCGGGATTTCCTCTGGAGACCCATTCTTCTCGGGTTCTGGGTCGGGTCACATAGGTGCCATGCCCAACTGAACGCCAGGAACAATAGTTGCGCATCACCTCAATGACTGCTCTGTTATCCTTAATTGACATGCTGGTGACATCGTAAATATGCAACCATTTACTCGGGCACTGTAATGTTGGAAAGCCTAGCTTTTGTCGGAATCGAACAATATTTGCTAAGTCTACGTTTAATCGTGGTGCAAAATCACGAAGAGCTGTTTCTGACAGATTTGAGTGTTCGAATATTCATAAAAGCTTGAATGAAGAGATGCCACTTGGAAATTCCTTAGCTTTTCTCGTGCTTCCGAATTTTCTTAGAATACACTGGCGCTCAGTTGGGCTGCGCTCAGTTGGGCAGCGCAACTGCTCCGTTCTCGACCCATTTGCCTCCCACATAAAACCCACCGGCCTATAGCCCGTTATCGGAATTTCCCCCCGGGTTCATCGGGCCGCGATGAGCTTCATAAACGAAGCATCAGGGAAATTAGAACCTTCGCTGGTACGAGTACATAGCCCGAGTTCCGGCACGCGATATATATTTTCCTCTCACATGAGGCCGATATACGACCGCTGTGAGTGAAAAGCAGTAAAACGGATTCCGTATCAAATCCGCCGACCATCTCATCTTTTATCCCGCCAAGCTTTCCAACGGCAGACTTTTAAGGGCTCACCGTTGGTCAAGGGGTCACTGAGGGTGCCTCAAAAAGCTACGAAAGACGATTAGACCCCTTAACTTTTTTAAAACTATCGACCGCAATGTTCGCGGAAATGGTTTTAAAGAGGCTGAAATAAATGAAAATTTAGTCTCAGGCGGGAAGAATCTAAAGGGGAAGAGCACGTCAGCTCGAATTGAAACTCGAAGGAATCGTGAACATAGCGTCTGGGAATGTTTTACTTGCACAGGGAAATCTTGGAAGAAATCATCGATTTTCGGAAAAATCAGCTCCCAGACAACACAAATTTTCTACGTCCGGGGGTAATTTATTTGCTCGGAAGAAAAAATTGAACAGACGGAAGTCCTGTACGGTAGATAGCTCAACTGCAAGTTTCAAGCTAGAAAACACCTTGCAGCTCACCGGGATCGAGACTTTTTCTTCTGTTTATATTTTGCATTCATAAATTTATTGCCAAATTATGCCCATCAGACAGTTGAGCATTAAAATAATTTCCACGGAAACCATGCTTCACATATTACAAGATACAGTACAGTATCTTGATAAGATACTGCGCTTATCAAGATACGGACATTCTGAGACAAACAAATGCACGGATTACTTTAAATTTCTTCCCTCCCCCGTTGTCTTGAATGGAGAATTGGCACTGTATCTCTCTTTGAAGGAAAATGCTGGGGTCGAAGAATTTCGCTGCTGCATAGAAAATATCATTAACGTCCATCCACAGTACTGGCATTGAATTCATCAAGCGCATTTCTCTCTTTGTAGACTGCTTATCATTTCAATTGTATACTGTATTGTTATTTTTTAAACCAAACTTCAGGTATCTCGAATACTCAATTCACTCGTATAAGCTCCATTTTTGTGGGTGAAAAAGTTTGGGGTTGAAGAAAGAATCGCTGAATTCGGCGCATTTTCAACATCAATTTTATATTAAGTCGAACCTAATTTTTTTAATATTCGGCAGATCTATTGAGAGTTTTTATTTTTTAAATAAATAGATTCAAACTTTAATTAGCCCATGTGCAAGCCACCTTTCATGCACATAAATGACGACCCAGATGAACAGCTGTTGGCTTATTCCACCTGAATCACAGCAGACGTTTCGCGCTCTCTTCAAGAAATAAAATATTCAGAGATTGGAATGAATACATTGAGCCATGAAAATTCAAAAAATAATTCTTTTTGACTTATTTCAGAAATAAAACGTGAGGCTGCATATAAAAATCTGAATAAACGCATTTTTTTTAAATGAAGTAAAAAAAATGCGTAAGGTATAAGGAATGCCCATCAGTGGTGATATCAGCGTTTCCGCAGTGTACTGCCGAATGTGCAGCAGTTTGAGCAAGCCTTTTACCTGCGGAACAGTTTGGGTTCGAATGGGGATCCAGCTGGACGCGTCGGGAAACTTCAGATGAGTGGGATAAGAGGACCCCGCTGCGGGGGGGACTTCCGTGAAAAACGCATAACTCGCTGCATGCAAATGCTCGTCTAAGTTATTTCGGCACGTGACAGTCGATAAGGTTCCACTTCCAGATTTCGAATCTAAACTGCTTCGCAGACGATTGGAGCGAGAAACGCCATTCATCAAAATGCGAGAGAAGCAAAATCGCCAAAGGGCGTTTTGAAAATTTCTTCAAATTATTGCCACAGAAATTATTTTCTACATTCCACAATTTTCTAAAATTAACCCACATAGAATATTTCAATAAAAATGCGAACAGTGAGTAAAACTCTTCTAAAGCCATGTAGATGAAGGCATTTGTAACGATTCATATAGTCATATGTACCAAATCCGGTGGATTTTGCTGAGAAATAAATTAGCTTCAACTTCATCGCGTGATTCGATGCGATGATATGGAGATATGATATTTTTGCAAGATTCCGATGACTTTCGGGGGAACTCGGATGTGCGTGCCGAATACTTTTAAGGGCTTATCTTGAAAAGAATTTAGTTCCTGACATTTGAAATCCGTGCACAAATTGTGCAAAATCCCACATAAACAAATGCATAAGATTGCTCGCGTGAGGCCGGTTTCAAATTTTAAAAAACATTCGCAATGAAAATTCATGTCACGTAAATCTCATGATTCGGAGGGGAGAGAGAGAGAGAGAGATTGGAGTGCGAACTTTTCAGCAGCAAGAAAGCTTTGGCAATGAGAAGTTATGCAATAAAATTGAGAAATAGGAAAGCTTTAGCGAAGGGCTCCATGTGAAAATCCCTCGAAAGAAAATACCGCCAATACCGCAAGACGGAATATAAACTTCTCAAAATATAAATAAAAATGCTCTTGAATGAATACATTTTTTTCTAAATTTTGGACGGGTATCCCTTTCACCGACTTTCTTGCGTTTCGTGAATTACCTGATTCCCTTTTTTCATTACAGTGATGCCGGGAGCCACCAGAAGGCTTGTAATATATAAAAAGAGAGTTTCCACCCGCCCGTTGATGTATTCAAAATTTCGTCCAAGGGTTCTCCGGTGGCTCAAAACCCAGCATTTTAGTTTGTTATTAAATTTCAAATCGACAAAATAATTTTGAATCATAATAGGTTAGTTTTACAACACCTTCTGCCACTTAGCTGCGGCATTTTCTCTGCAGGGGTATCCCCCCGCACCCTGAGACGACCCTTGCGGGGTCGGTCACGACGAGGGTTCCGTTTGATCGCGGATCGATCAAAGCGCGGAAACGCAAAAGTGATTGATGCGCTTTTTCTGTCTCGTCCTTGCTTTTTTTTTCTTCCTACCCTCACCACAGACGCGCCAAATGTCTGACGCTGCTAGGGACTGGAATTTCTGCAAACAACGACCCGTTTCTTTTGCGACAGCAACAAGCCCCACCCGACGGGTTCGTTGGTGCCGCCTGGATCGGCGACAAACCTAATTTGTCGCATGGCAGAAACGCACGTTACCCTCAAATGGGAGACTGTCTCCGTGTTGTGGCCGACAGCGGCGGTGCGGGAAGGCGAATTATCGCAGCCAAGGACATAATTCCAGGTCAGTTGCGTCTCTCTGGGGAAGATCACACGCCGGGAATTAAGAGCGAACGATGCGTGGCAAGAACAAAAATCACGCCATCGTTCGTTTCCTTTCCAAGAACGGGGTCGCATCAATGTAGGGTACGACGGGGTGCCGAAGAAAATCCCGCGAAGAGAAAACCCCGCAGGAACAAAACACCCGCCGCACCCGATTTCCAGAAGTGATAAAAATCGATGGTGCGGCCTATATTATATGCGAAATTCGTATTTCTGCATAGATTGCACTGCGTCTAAAGTACGGCACAATATTTGAAATATCCTTCCTTTTTTCGCTGACTAGGATTTGATAATTAAAACGAACAAGGTCTTGGGTTTAAAAATAATACGAGATGCAATCAATCGGCGACCTACTGATCGTCATTTAAAAAAATCATAAAGATACTGATACTGATAAATCATAAAAATTATACGGTATTACGCAGTTTTAAAAATGTGCGTCCGGTTTTCATTTCAGTCAGAATTGTATGCTGATTTTAAAATTCCTGATACTCTGTTTTTGCAGGTTATAATTTTGCCATGAAACGGTTTTCCAATATCAATGCAGTAGTTCGCGTGGATACGTCCTGCGATTCAAGTTGCGGGAACTCAAGTTATTCGATTGATTTCAGAGTTTGTAAAACTAGTTACGAACCAACTTTTGGACACCGAATGCTATGTAAACAAACTGGAAGAAAATATTCGTAAAAATGTTTGTAGGTCTTTCATTTCAGCTGAATGCGAGGATTTTTTGTATCACTTCGAAAATAATAAGGAAGAAAAATAAAACAAAGGCAGTAAAAAAGAAATTTCTTATCACGTAAGCATCTCCGATTTATCCACCGATAATATTTTAAAATTATGCATTTGAAAATGTCACGCCTCATTTCACATTTCGATGGCGGGATTTTCGTACCTGCAAAATTTTCTCTCCGCTAGATTTTCTCAAGGAGCCCGGCGGGGCTGACTCGAGTGCTAGTAGCACACGCGAATGCCTCATTTTTCCTCGTTCCACCCAAAAAAAAATCAAAAAGAAAAATAAAGAAAAGAAAAGGAAAATGAACCCCAGAGACACAGATATTCGAGGTATGTCTCGGGGGGACAGACGACACACGTCGCAACTGAATCCTTCGGAATTTTTCCGCCAACGCGGTGTAAAAATCCTAACAAGGCATTCCGGGAATTTTAATGGAAATCCACGGAACAAGAGATTTCACTCGGAGCATTCGGAATCTGCAACTAAGTCCTTCCGGGAAATAGCTTGGAAGAGGAAGATTGTAGTTTCTCGAGTGCTCGTCTTCCCAAGAGTGGGTTCATGCATTATCCGAATCGTTTGACCGTATTTTCAGGACAGATCCTGGTCGTTGACGATCCATACGTGTCCTGTTTGGAATCCAAGGCTGAAGGAACCCATTGTCATCAATGCTTTGAATATAGCGACTCCATGATTCCCTGCCACAATTGTTCAACCGTAAGTAATAGTGAAGGAAAGCTTCAGAAGCAGCTACTGTTCCCATATCTTACGTTTCCTCGAAAAGTAGAATGATTCGAAAGAATTGCATCTTGCCTAAGAGAGTGACGTTTTCCCAGTGAATTCGGATGAATTCATTCTTGTAGAAATAATTCAATTTGGGCCTCAGCTAATTCGAGGGAATCAACTTTTGCTGTACTTTCGATTTGCAAGCGAATGCGTTTTGTCAGTCTTGATTCTTGAAATTATGCCTTGTGAGAGCTTAATTATCTGAATAAGAATTCCAGATTTCAGATTTAATGGAAGTAGGTTCATCTTCCACGGTTTGACTTTAATTGCAGCCCTGACTTGAACGGCTTCTAGCGCAACAATTGCTGATTTCATTAGGCTGCTTTATTCGCGTTCAACATCAAATTTTGACAAGATCATGCTAGTTTTTCATTTCTTGAAATCCTTCAATTACCCTTAGACTTCATGCAAATTTTGGAAATACAGAGAATGCAGAATTTGAAATGTATTTCCTCGCAGTGATGGGGCGCATTTGCTTATACAGTATCTATTTCCGTTCGTGTGATATAATTAAATAAGAGGTCAGGAAATTGACAAATATTGTTCGGCAATTGGAAAATACAAACAAAACTACAACAATCAAAGCACGATATAAAATAAAATTATGAATCAACCCTCGTGCATTGCAGTAACAGTAAACACATCCTTCAAAGTCCAAGATTCACGAGTTTCTCCAGTTGTTGTTCGTAGCTAAGCTCTCAAAGAGTTGCTATACAGATCCTCTCGAAGGAATGTTTCTACGTCAGGGTGGCTTTCAAGATTTGAGATATGCGATTAAAGCCGGCGGAACACAGTTCTCAGTAACATTACAAATGTCTCCGAGATTAATGACTCCTGGCTGCCTCGAGAAGGCATGTATAAGTTGGAAATTATCCTATAGCGTCGTCCAGTATTACGCATACAATTCCCGGCCAATTTTCTGTGCCCCAAAACAAAAGGTTATGTTCTGCTCGGAGCAGTGCAGAACAGCAGCGGAAACGTACCACAAGCGAGAGTGCCCCATTTTGCATTTCCTCCAATTCGACCAGAGCCTCCCCGTGCGGAACGACGTGTTCAGACTGTTTTCCTCGCGTTCTCTCGACTATTTCCTCCACAACGAGTCCCAGGTGCGTTCAGCAATCCAAGACGTGCACATTGGACGTCTTCGTGGCCCTGTGCCACCCTGCGACCCAGACTGCCTCGCCAATTTCTTCGCACTCACGAACCACATCGAAGCGGCCGACTCCAACTCGCTCTTCAAGTCGGCCTGCCTGGGGGTCTACTTGACGCATTGTCTGGAACTGACTGACTTTTTCCTCGGCGACGACGTGGCGAGCTACGACAGGATCAGGTTCTATATTGCACAGCTGATTGTGTCCGCGTCGCTGGTCCTTGCGACCAATAGCTACTTGGTCAAGGAGGTGAGGCTGAATGTCAAGAACGCGTGGGAGTCAGACTCGGAGGGTGTTGCGTCCGCCTGCTATCCAGTCACGAGTTATTTCAACCACGCGTGCTTCCCCAACGCTGTTCGCGATTATTGCCGCAAAGCCATGGTCATCATGTCCGTGATGGAGATCCCGGCGGGTACGGAAGTGACTGTGCTTTACGGCTACCAGTGAGACCCTTTGTCTAGCCTTGCTTCCAATATCCATAGGGGGGAAAGAGGAGTAAGATGCTAAAAGCACACGGAATGTACCGTATAGTAGACAAGCGAGGCTCATACAAAGTCACAATGAACATTTAATTTTTGAATTTAATCATAGAGTTTATGGAAGTGACTCATGTGCTTCAAAGCTACCAGTGAGACATTTCGTCTAAACCAGTGCCTCTGTAACCCGTGGTTCGCGGAAAAACGCCGATCCACGGAACATTTTCTTCCACATAATACAATTTTAAAAAGTAGTAATTATGTCAGTTATCTTTATCTGAAATTTTGGAAAGACAATGGCAGTTGATATTATCTGATAAAAATGGCTCTTTTCCTATAATAACGCGTAAGACAATTTGTAACTACCTGAAATTAATTATTTCAAGTTTTCATTCTGAAATACCTTTCAGGCCCCGCTTCCTAATTTTTTGAAGCTGCTTCATTGGTTCTTAAATTAAATTTTGCAATGCAAGTTTTGTTTGAAGGAATTTATGGCAGGTACAGTATTTGAAAATTTTCTGCTGGCCTGCAAAATGTGCACGGACCTTAGTCGGTCCGCAGAAAATTTGCTGGTTCGAGAAAAGTTTTATGGGAATTTTGCTGGTCTGAGGGCCCAAAAAGGGTGGGGAACACTGGACTCAATACCATTGCTTCTAATTAAAAGGGAAGAGGAGTAAGAGTACAGTACTGTACTGTACAGTGTAGTAGAGAGCAAGGCTCGGGCCAAGTCCCAAATAAATGTCCTTGCATGTTCAAGGCGTTTACCCAAACCTTGGACAGGTAAAACATATCCATTAAGACTCTTGATTATCAAAGTTGATAATCAGACATTTCGTTTGCTCTTGATTCCGACTTGAAAAGAGGGGAAACCTTTTGTAGTACAACAGCAGGGATTGAATTGATTCATGAATATATAATACAGTACAGTAAAGTACTTTATTCATGAGACTGATGCTTGAACACTTCCACCATCTTTCCTGAAATATGACGGGTCATATTTTTAAAGTGTAACTCTGATCTTCCGGGTATCAGATCAAAAAAACATTCCGTCTGCCCTTGTATCAGAAATCAAGGGAAGGGCAAGTTATGTAGGAAAACAGGGCTTGAATTGAGTCGTAATACAGTATAATAACACTTATTTGCGTACATCCGTACTCCGACTGTTACGGCATATCGCGGATAGTATGACTGGTTATCTGGGTACCGATTCATCAGATATCCAACCAACCAAATATTTAGTCTGCCCTCGAGTTCAACACGTCAATGTACTGTATGGGGAAAATGTGCCACATAGAAAACGGAGGGGCTGAGGCGGAATAAAAAAATATTGATTTTCTCATGTTTCTACATTGTTTAGCCAAAAAAAAAAACAAGTCTACAATGGCTCAGCACATCATCTGTGCTTCGATTGACCGGATATCCGACTAGCCGAGCTCGGATTTAGATTCTATATCAAAAGGGAATAAAGCGGCTGGAATATTTAACATGATAATCAAACTGAATTTCGTATTCGTCGGGTCAAAAACACTCCGAGAAAGCTTAGCACGAATATTTCAACATACTTTTTTTTACTCTTTTTAATATACTTTTTAAAATTTGATTATGCGGAAAATTAAAATGTCCTAGGATTTTTACCTGGTGTTTAGCCCGGAAAACGTAGTCATACCCAACGAATATTTTACAATTCTGTATGTGATTAGAAACAGTTGTGGATATTTCAAATTTTTCATCCTTTTAAATTTGACGAAACCCGGTCTATAATAGCCGACCAAACATTTAAAAATCACCAGCAAAATATACAGTTTTAATAAATAATAGCCGACCAAACATTTCAAAAATACAAGCAAAAAATAAAATTTTAAGCTAGTGATCGCGCACAAACCAAGGATTTTTCATAAGTTTCAACAGACGAGACTTAGCATCACAGTTATCCAATTCTTTCGAGAGGAACTGTCCAAACCACAGGATGATCAATTGTAATATGTCAATCAAGTTGAAATGAATCATTTTTGCCGGCACCTGGGGAATTTTCTTGGGTCGTCGATTTCCATTTTCATATAACCTTCGCATTCAAACCCAGTAACACGCGCATTGCCAAGATCGGCAGAATTTTTTCATTAAACCCGTTTTTAATCCAAAAATATTTTAAAACCATTTTTATATCATTTGGGCATTTTGGTACAGTCGTATGCAGATTACCAACAAATTTACCAATTTAGCGAACATGCGAGAATGACGGGTGAAGTTCGTTTTCAACCAAAAAATAAGGTTCATTTATCACATTTCGCCTCACTCTCAATGTTATTAAGCATGAAAATCGAACTATACCGACCAAGAACTGATGAAATTTTTATCTGAAAATGAAATGTGACGCACACACATAACAAGCATCCAGCAAGGGACCTGAAAATGCGTATGACATATTTATATCTGCGTTGTGTACCTATAGTACCGAATCGTTGTTCTTCACACTTCTACAAATTTTGAGAGATGCTTACAGGAAATTATATTGAAGAGACAACAACTGTTATTGCACGTGCGTCGCACGTGCTCTCTTCTTAATGCTACTTTTAATTGGTGAAGAACTGATCGAATATTTATGCGTGAAAAGTGACACCCATCTAATGAGGGAATCTCTCAGCCGAAAACGCTTAAGATCTACAGTAATTCTAAGCCGCGTTGAGTACCTATTTTATCGATTTTTTTTGCAGTTTCACGAAATTCCCGAAAGCTGACAGACAAGTATATCTTAGAGACAACTACAACTTTGATTGCAAGTGCGTCGCATGTGACGGAGACTGGCCCGTGTTGGAGGAGACCGAGACAAGGGAATTCGATTGTGCTCGTTTATGCCAAAAATGCAACGCAACTTTGAGCAATGAAGAGATGGAATCGAGCGTGAATTGCAAAGAATGCGGGGCCGAGTTGGACGAGACAGCTCGTGAGCTCGCAATGCGATGGCGAGACGTGATGCAAATCGTTAACGGCGCAAGGTACATCCGCCTTTTCTTTAATGATTATTTCTTTTCCTTTTTTTTGCTTTCTAGTGAAACCACGGTTTTATGAATGCGTTGGTTCGAGACATTTTGAAATAGAATAACGGATAAGTATTCGGAATGCATGAACTCTCTTTGTGACTGTCACACGATCACACGCTAAAGCAAGACCACCCAGCTTCGCCAAGGTTGCGAGTAAAATGTATTTGATGAGGAGGGAGTTTCCTGAATAGGTGTTTCAAAAGATTTGTAGATCGTGTCCGTGGAGGTGATTCAAGTTGAGCATTTATTTCTTTCCTTACATTTCACTCAAGTTTTGTTGCGTTTACCTCACGGTTTTTTTTTTCTAAAGCCTCAGGTTAAATCCTCTTAACCTCCAGTAACCTTCAGCGAAAATAACCACAAAAAAAGATTTGCGGTACCGAAGTACGTTTACTGCCACGAAGTCATTTAACTCACGCGTTTTCTACAATACCGCCGTGCCGTAAAATTGAACTTTTCAAGTTGCGTTTCAAAATTCAAGTATCTTATGCGAAGCAGGGAAAATTACGGATGTAACGCACGATTATTTAAATTATAATTTCCGTATTATTCTTACTCCTGCAACGTAATCTCCAAAAGTTTCACTTCTTCTAGCATTCAAACATTTCACGGAATTCCATGATAAATGTCAAACTACTTATTTTCCGTAGATATCGAAGAACAAGATTGCTTTTTAATACGAGAGAAGATTTACAGAATATTTTGTTCATTATCGAAAATAGTGGTCCCGAAATTTTGGGCACGTTTGAAAGCGATATTTTAAAACTAGAATAAGCTCAAAGCCTACGCAGTGACGCTAGTGACATTAAAATGGAAATTTTAAAATAATTTTCATTCGCGTTATTTTCATCAAACGTTTCGCGGTTTCCGTAAATTTGTTAAAGGATCTAACATCAAGAAACATTGACAGTGTAGAAAATAAAGAAATTCGTCGTTAAAAAAAATCCTCTAACTACGAACAATTAGAATTTAAGATTAAAATTTGATCCGAGTTCTGCTACAGGCTAAGCACTTTATTTTTGATGTACATATTTTAGGAAATCGGTTCCAAAATTTGCTGATACATTCAATACGTCTCCGATGCTTGCATATCTGTTTCCGTTGATATCAAAACGGCTTTTCCTTGAATTAAGGGAGCTAAATGCATTGAAAGCTTCCCAATTCTAATAATTACAGTAGTTCTAATCCCAGTTATTTTGTACTCATTCATTTTATTCCGGTGATACGAAAAAAATAGTCACCGATTTTGAACACGGCTACAATCACGAGCTCAGGGTCAAATGAGGGCTTTCATGTTTACGAATTTTAATTTTGTACACCTGAATGTCAAGTTCGTGCATGTTGCGTTTCCTAATGAGAAGATTTCTGCTGAAAGTAGAAAAAAATAAAAGTTAAGTTGGCCCAATATTAAGTGGCTCAGTAATTAGTAGGCCGAATCAAAAGATAAATTATCCCAATTTCATACTCGGTAATCGAAAAGAAACGGCATTCAGAGATCCTCTCAGCGATGGAAGCCGTTATTCAAAGCCCGAGGGCATATCAGTTATTTTCTCTCCATTCCTTGTTTTGTTTTTTTTCAAACCCCGTTTTGAATAATTAGAGAATCCTCGGCCGTCGGCGCCGGAGACACGGACACCTGCAGCAAAGCGTACTGGAAACGAGCCATTGAAGTTTTAAAA